TTGGGTGAATAGCATCAGGTAAATATTTTTGGATCACTTCATACATGCCATGTATGGCACTAAGCACTTTTACAGCATCATCTGATGCCAGTCTAGGTCTCTAACCACTGCACAACATTGCCTGCCCCTAGTTCACTTAATCCTCTCACAGCTCTTGTCACATCTTGTCCTCATGATTTACTCATCTCCCGCACTAGCCCGTGAGTCCCAAGAGAACAAGAATGACATTGTTCTATCTGTCCCATCTATCCAGCATTGCCCAGCGCAAGGTCTGGCACACAAATTGGTAAGTTCTGGGGAAGGACTGATATGGTGGGATGGGGTTTTACATTCTGTGCTCACCTCTGTGGGTTGCCCAGTTGAGTGGAGGCTTTGGATTGGATGACCTGGTTGGGGGACTGAAGCACATTGGGCATAGGCATGGGCATATCAGGTTATTTATCTGCTGGGGTCTAGATTTCCCATGAAGGCTACCAGCTCAGACCCTCCATCAGCTTGCATTGCCCCAGATCTGGCTGGCCTCCTCTCATGTGCTTGCCTCTAGTTTTCAGGGTACCAGATGCCAGTGGGCAGGTGATTCAGTGGTACCCATTCCCACAGCTGGAAAAGCTGCTCAAAGGAGTGTGCAGTACCTGCCTCCAAGAATCTATAAATCAGTTCTGTTCAAAGACCTGAACTGGCTCCTGGGGGGTGAGGTAGCCTCCTCAGGGCCTGGGCACCTGGTGGGGTAAGGGATGAGGGACGCTCTTTATCTTTTCTCCTCCTCATCTTCTTCTCTTCTAATTTCCCAGCTCAGTCACCTCCCCAGCCATTTTTGTCCCTAAAACTAAGCACAGAGTGTTCAAACATATTTATAATCATGACATATTGTTCCTTAGTTTTTCCGTTTTGTTTCTAATAACATCAGTTCTAGGCATGTTAAAACTTTGGGATCATTGTAGGGTATGTGACAGGAAGGCTTTTGAGATGGGTCCTAAATGGTGAGGAGAGTCAGAAGGTAGGGAAAATGGGAAAAGGGTGTATAGGCCAAGGCACAGAGGAGTCTATGATAAAACCAAAGGATATGAGGAAGGAAGAGATGGGAAGTGACAGGAAGTGACACTGAAAGGGCATTGCAGGCCAAGCTAAAGGTTTGCACTGTATCCTGAGTGCAGTCAGAAGCCATTGAAGAGTGTGGACCAGTGAGTATATTCCAGCAACACAAAGAGAAGTGTTAAATAGCGAATATTTATTGACCACTAGCTTTGTAATGAAAAAGATTATTTCATTTAGTCCTACCAACAATCTTATGAGCTAGTATTATTTCCATCTAATTTTAAGGGAAGCTAGAGATGGGAAGACTGTTTCCTCAAGTCACAGCTAGGAGCTGATCCTGTAATCTATTCCTTTAATTGTCATGCTAGCAGGTCTGAGAAAGGGCTGGGGTCAGGGAAGGGTCCTGGAGATGGTTAGGAGACAGAATGGGACTCCAGACTCCATGACCACCTGGATGTGGGTGTGAGGCTGAAAGCCTTCTCAAGAATGATGTCCAGTTCTCTGATTTGTGCACCTGGGAGAAGCGTGCAGAAGCACAGACTCTCTGGGACAAAGCGCGGAGACGGGAGCCAGCGCCAGCCAGCTAGTTGCTCCAGCTGCGATGGGTTGATCGCATCCGCGCGGCAGGCCCAAATCTGCCAGACAAGCAGCGCTATAGCACGAGCAGGCGGCCCGGAGTGCCTTCCCGGTCCTTTCCTGGTGCCAGCCAAGCGGCAGGAGGGGCCGAGGGGGATGCCCGGAGCAGTGCCATGTAGCGGAGGCCGGACCCTTGGCAACCGAGCCCCATGAGGTGACCACCCAGAAGCAAGCCGGGAATGGCAGCTGCTGGGGTGTGTCACCAGCGGGACAGAGGAAGAGTATGGACCCAGCTGCGGGCTAGGCCTCTCTGGTGGTCTCCGTCCTACTGTGGACACAGGATACACCAGTTTGTGGGGTCTCCCGACTCTGGGGTCCCTGAGGTGCAGTGCCTTCCCTACTCCCAGCCTGTGTCCTCAGGCAACAGGCATGGACACTATGGTCCGACCTCTCAGACCCCTCAGATTCCACACTGAATCCCTTTGTTACCCAGTTCTGGTCTGTTTGCTTGAAATGCAGCCAAGCCAATCTACCGCTACTGGATTGTGGTGACGGAAATTACAGTGTTTACTGCGGGGCACCAAGCAAGGAGAACTGGGCAGCTAGTAATCAAAAGGCTCAAACTCCCAATGGCTTTCAGGCAAGGGTTTTAAAAGGCGACATGGGGGTCGCAGGGAGTATGATCAGCTCCTGGACATTTTTTGGACTGGTTGGTGGTGAGATAACAGGGTGATGCTTCAGGAATCTCAGTCATCAACCTTCTGGTTCCAGCCAGTCTGGGGTCTACATGCTTGTGGTCAGCATGTAGTCACCATCCTCCACCTGGTGGAGGGTCTGAGTTTCTGCAGAACAACTCACATTATTATCTATATCCCTTCAGGAGGAGCCGTGACCCTATTATTCTAATCATTAACTGCTTGAGTCTGCTCTTTGGAACTCAGGGAAGGCCAAACCAAAAGGGGGGGGCACAGAGGGGCTTGTACCTGGGAAGGCCTCGCAGGGTCCTGCTCAGTTTCAGTCCCCCCTTTTCTCTGATAGTCCTCAATCCTGAGGGGAACAGCGATGGGACAAGAAAGGGAATAAGGTTTAGGACAGAGAGGTTAATCAGAAACTCAGCATGGGAACTGGGTTTTAGGGGTCCCTCACACTCCTCCGACTTCCCTTACCAGGTTTTGGCTCCTCACCACCCATTCCCTTGCCCTCTGGCTGCCTCCTTTCCGTTATCTCACAGCCAGCACGTTACCAGGTCCTGGGAATGCTCCTGTCCCGCCTCCTCTCCCAAATTCAGCCACTTCTCTGGCCCTACTGCCTCTTTCTTAATTCAGGCCAATATTCACTCCAGGCTGGAAGGCCACATCGGCCAGCAGTCCTGTCCTCTTCAACCCACTTCCTACATTGCAGCTAGAGGGGGGATCTTTGCAAAGATTCTGGTTGTTCCCTGGATGAAAGCTCTTCAGGGGCTTTCTGATTCCTTTGTTGTAAAGACCGAACTCCTCAGTCTGACCCACGAGCCTTTCACAGCCTGGCCTCTGCGACCTCCAGCCCATCTTTCACAACGCCTCCCTCACATGTGGAGCCACAGTCCCACCTGCAACAAAATCACTGGTGGAGCTTGTTAAATGTGCAGATTCTGGGTCCCTGCCCCAGGTCCACCAAATCAGAATCCCTGGGACCGGCACTAATGCTTAACAAGCCTCCCATGATTGAAACCTACTTCTTGCAGCTCCTCAGAAAGGGCTCTCTTTCCTCCTGGGCTGTACACAGGTTCCTCTTGCCTAGTGGCTATACCTCCTCCACTTCCTTCAGACTGAGTTTAAACATTACCTCCTTCCTACCCTGGGCTTACTCCTAGAACAGCCCTTATTAAGTGGAGGTTTGCCTGTCTGCTTCTTTGTCTTTCCCCCCAACCAGAATGTAAGCTCCTATGGCAAGGTACCTGGCACAGAGAGGGGACTCAGTAAATACTTGTTGAATCCAGAATGAATGAATATCTGGGCATACTGCAAGCTCAAGGACCTGCCATGGTGGCGGGGGAGAGAGAAGAACAACCAAGAATAAGCCAGCCCTGAGGATGGAGGAGAGGACATGACTGGGGGTGGGGGGTGGTGAGTCTTTCCAGTTCCCCTCAAGCTACCACCCACAGGGGTCTGGTTTAGGGGCACACCCACCTCCCAGGGATGCTAAGGAGAACCTGTTCCAATAGATCAGCTTTCTTCTCTGTCGCCTCAAGGACCCATTCCTGCTCCTCTGCTGGAGGTTTTGAATGCCCCCCCCACAAACACCATGCCATCCAGGGCAGCTGGGGTGGCATCTTGGTACTCCAGCAGCACTTTGTCTCCCTTTGTTTATTGACCTACCAGAAAAATCTCAAGCCCAGTCCAGACAAGTGACTCAGTACAGCCTCAAGGAATGAAAGCTGGAAAACAAGACTCAGACAGCAGGGCCAGTCCCTGCCCGGCCCAAAGAGAAGGTGCTAAGGGAAACCAGTCAGCAGATGCCCTCTAGAGCCAACACAGACCACCACTGTGTCCTGGGTCTTCTCTGCATACACAGTCAAGGTATTCTGCCCTCTGCCCTCAAGGATGTCTCCATCTAGTTGGAAGTTGTGGGAAGGACTTGAATTGGGTCTTAATTACAACAGCAACTGTAATAGCAGCTGTGATTCTTATTGAATGCTTACCACGTGCCAAACATTGTTCTAAGCACTTGACAAGCAGCCTCTCTCACAACTCAAATAATCCTCTTGCAGATTAGGAAACTGAAGCTCAGGGAGGTTATACCCATCCATACAGTTGAAGGGATGGGTATAAAGCAGAGTAGTTGAGAGGAGGACTCTGGGTGAGTTGGAAGGTGATGCACACTCAGTTTGGGCCACATTTCTTCAGTTGGAAGCAAAGGCATGTGCTGGGGAGTGTCACAAGGTGATGGGAAAGCCCTGGTTGCCAGGCTGAGGTGCTTGTAATTGCTCCTCTAGGCTCCATGTCAACTGCTCCTTTCCTCTGTGTTTTTATCTTAGGTGGTCAAATGCTATGATATGACCTAAGGAACTGGAGCTGGGAGTCCTGGTCCTGCTACGGTCTGGCTGTGGGACCTTAAGTAGGCTCCTGCCCTCTCTGGGCCTCGGTGTCCTCACCCTGAAAGGAGCCTTATTCAGGAACTTCCAACCCAGCCCATGGGTTTCTATTCATAGCTTCATAGCTCCAGAGCCCAATTAAGCTGAGATGCAGGAGCAGCTTTTAATTAACTTTAGCCTTTTCCTACAATAGACCCTTCCCCCACCTCACAGGTGCCCCTAGGACACGGGACAGGCACAGAGGAGGAAGGCAAAAGAGAGAGCAGAGATACTTCTCTCTGTACATCCCTGAGCAGGTGAATTGTCTTGCTCCCTCCTGGAGTCCAGGTTGGTCCACCTAGTTAGATCTCCAGGCCCAGAGAGACAGCATCTCTTCTTCCTCTTCCCCTTTACTGTCTGTATTCGTTCATTCACCCATTCATCCATTTCTTCCTCAAAGGGCAGGGCCTCCTCTGTGCCAAGCATTGTACTAGGCCCTGGAATACAGCTATGAACCAGATGCACAGGACAGGCAGATGGTGGGGTTGCCTCTGTCCTAGTCCAACTGGCCACCAGGTGTCACCAGTGCCAGCCACACAGCCTCTCTCGGGTCTGAGAAGGAAAGTGGAGCTGGGATGGGGAAGTGTGATCGGGTGAACCAACCCAGCTCTGCTCAGCCAGCCTGAATCAGAAGCAAGTTCCTCTAGTGGAAAAAATAATCCATCTCCTTACCCCTCCCCCACCAGAAAGACACCCTCATGACTTCCTCAATAGCCCAGCTCACTTGCGATCTTGGGAACTCATACCCCTCTTCAGTCTGGAATTCTCTCTACAGCCCATCCCTCACAGAGAGCCCACCAGTTTCTTGTAAACCCCTTTGGTGACTGCAGCTCACTACCTCACAGGTGAGAGAGGCAGAGACCTGGGACCTTTACTGCAGTGCTTGCCCCTGGACAAATGTTTTCTCAAGCAACAGAATACAAAGAAACTATAAGGGACTAAAAATAACTGCATGCATGCCCAGCTGTGGCAAATTATGAACAAGATACAAAAAGACCAAAACCCAACTGCCATTTCTGAGGTAGGGGGAGCAAAAGCAGGGTACTGCACATGATCCCTGCACATGGTACCACCCAGGGGGTAGGCAGACCACCTACGCCTCCCCTCTGGCCCGACCCACCAATTCGCAGGTACCTTCACCCCAATTAAGGGACCAGCTGCCTCCCCACCTCCCACCCTCCCCACTCACCCCCCGCCCCACCCCCACCTTGGGGAGCGAGCAAGGGAAACTGTTACTCGTTTTCTTCCCTCTTGCTGCAGCACCAGTCCCAATAAAGCCTTGCTTGAATTTCTTGTCTGGCTTCTTATCAATTTCTATTGATTAAAGAGTCCAAGAACCTGGGTCAGTAACACAGGCAACCTATATTATTAGAAGACCCTTCCTGACTTAGAACCAAAATTTGACAATCACTTTGATTTGTCCTCGTTTTACCTTCTATAGGCAAAAAGAGGAGGGCTCTTCTTTCCCATACAGCACTTCAGGCGTTTGAAGAGATTGTTCAGATCTCCTGAGTTTGTTTGTTCATTATTCATGTCTGTATACAGAGCATTTACTATGTGATAGGCCTCGGGGCCACAGCAGAGAACAAGCAAAGTTGAGGCCTGTCCTCCCATGGCTTGTAGTCTGTCCAAGAAACCAAAAACCATACCAGCAGTAATGATAAAGTTTGTACAAGGCCAAATAGGAGAGATCTGGTCTGACATGGAGCAGGGGGCAAGGGCCTCAGCCAGCCTGGTCCCTAGGAAAACTTCCTGAGATCTCCCAAAGGGTGAGCAACTTCAATGCCGTTCAATATCAAACTTTTTAAGAAAAACTGGGAGAATTTTGCTGGTACCCTGAGCTTAGAAAATGCAGCATCATGGTGGTGGGGGGTTGATGGGGTGTTTAGGGGACAGAGGCGGGGACAGAAAAGCCATCCAGGCAGTGAGAGAGAGGATGGAGTATCTGGGGGGCTGACAAGGCCCAGAGTTGCTGGAGTACACAGTACAACTGAGGAAGGAGCTGTGAGGCAAGAGTCCCCAAAAGAAGGGAGAGACACCTTTAGGCCCTTCAGTGGTTTCTGGATACCAGTATCCAATGCCCAGATCTGGTGTGATGTGGGGTCTGGGGAAACCATGAGGTCACCTTCCCTGATGCAGAAACACTACATTCCCATGAACACAGCCCAGGAAAGCAGCAGACTTTTGATGGGGACTTGCAGTGTAATTGTGGTCCTCTAAAGCCCTCAAGGGTTCTTCACTCAAGCTGCTAAGAGGCCAGAGAGGTCCCATCTAGGGATCTCACAGCTGAGTTAATGAACCTCAGGCTGAACTGTATTTCCTCTGTTCTCTTATTTCCTTTTTTCTTAGTTTCATGAACAACATGCATTCATTTTGATAAAATTTACAAATACGATAAACAAAATAAGAATCTAAAATTACCTTGTATTATTGTATTTATTTCTGTGTAACAAATTACCCCTAAATTTCGTAGCTTCAGACCACAAACATTTATCTCCCAGTTTCTCAGATTCAGGTGCTTTGGAGTAGCTTAAGGATTTGGCTCAGGATTTCTCACAAGACTGCAATCAGATCGTCAGCCAGAGCTGCAGTCATCTGAAAGTTTGACCAGGGTTGGGAGTTTTATTTCTAAGGTTGCTGATTTGTACACCCAGCAAGATGTTGCTTGTTGTTGGTAGGAGGCCTTGTAGCTCACCACGTGGACCTCTCCATGGTTGCTTGAGTATCTTTTGACCCAGCTGCTGACTGTCCCCAGAGTGAATGATCCAAGAAAGAGAACAAGGAAGAAACCACAGGGCCTTTTATGATCTAGTTAATCCTATACTTGGGAGGGGAATTAGGCTCTACCTCTTGAAGGAAGGAGTATGAAAGAATTTGTGGATATCTTTTTCAACCTCCAGATATCCCAAATCCCCTTCCCAAATAACTACTATGAACATTTTACCAGAACTTTTCTCACTCAACTATATACATCAACCTTAAAAAATAAAAATGGTATCATAATGTACCTACTGTGGTTAATTACTATTTTATGTAATGTTTGAACAGGTGATAACTCACAGTATAAAAATTTAAAGGTACAATAGCACAAAAGCATATGCAGTTAAAAGCGAGTCTCCCTCTCTCACTTGATTTCAGCCACTTAGCTCCCCTCCCTGAAATATGCCTTCACCTGTTTCTAGCATACCACAAACATATACATATCTATCCTTTTGTTTCCACACTCACTGTTCTGCAACTTACTCTTTGGCCTCACTATATAGCTCTCAGATATTTCCATATCGGTACATAGAGAATTGCCTCATTTTTAAAAGAGCTGCAGAGTATTTTACTGAATGGAGGCAGCCAAGTTTATTTAATATGGACTGTTTTGTAACTAGTTCTGTGATTTTAAAATGTACTATAAATGTCTTTCAGCATCAGTAAATCTAGTGCTACATTATAGTGTATTGTGGCTGCTAACCATGTACTGTGACTATTTTAACTGATCCCCTGGTGCTGAAAATTTGAGTTGTTTCCTATTTTCTCATGGTGGCTTCCAAAACAAACAGCATACATCTAGTGAGACTTTTGGTACTATCCATCAGAAGCCTGAAAAATAGGCATAATCTTTGATCCAGCAATCCCACTTCTAAGAATCTCTCCTAATAATCAGAAAAGTGCACAAAGATGCACCTTCTTATGTTTGTTGCAAAGTTGCTTATAGCAGAGAAAAATTTTTTAAAAACCTATACGTCCCAAAATATGTGACTGATTAAATCATGATTCATAATTCTATCCATGGAATGCTAGGTATACACCAAAAATTATGATGTAATCTTATCTTTACTGATCCACAAATGTAGGGCGCGGTCACCTAACTGCTACGCGGCAGGAAGCTGAAATAAGCTGAGTCATCCTTCCTGTGGCCACTGCGCTTGCGCTAGGTATACTAATGAGGTTTTAAAGTAGCGACCTATCCGATGCTGGCTCACAAATCGCACCATCGGCGAAAGCCAATCACAGAGCGACACATGTTCTTAATCCCTATATAAGCAGACTGCTATAGGATTGCGGTGTCTTCCTTCCATCTTTTTTTTAACCAAGCTGTGCTCCAATAAAGTGTGATACGAGAAGAATCTTGCGTGTGGCGACTCGTCATTCTGCTGGTTGGAGGCGGCTCGCCGCACACAAATATGTCTATGAAATGTTCCCTAGTCTTAAAAAAAAAAAGTTTACAAGACTGTGTATCTAATAAAATTGTGAAAACAATTCCATTTACCATAACATTAAAAAGAATAAAATAGAAAACAATTTGGGGGTCCCTCAAAAAGTTAAACATAGATTACTAAATGACCCAACAATTCTACTCTAGGTACATGCCCAAAAGAATTGAAAACGGACTCATACAGATGCTTTCAAGTGAATGTTCATAGCAGCATTATTTACCATAGTCAAAAGGTGGAAACAACCCACGTGTCCATCAACAGATAAATGGATAAATAAATGTGGTACCCACATACAATGGAATATTATTCGGTCATGAAAAGGAATGAAGTTCTGATACATGCTACTATGTGGATAAACCTTACAAACATTATGCTAAGCGGAATAAGCCAGACACCAAGGACAAATATTATATGATTTAACTTATATAAATGAGTACAGAGCTTCTGTCTGGGATGGTGAAAAATTTTGGAAACGGATAGTGGTGATGATTGTACAATATTGCCAATGTAATTAATGCCCTTGAATCATACACATAAAATGGCTAACGTGGTAAATTTTGTGTTATACACATTTACCACAATTTAAAAATTCCAAAAAAAGAGTAAAATACTTGCAAATAAACTTAACAAAAGAAGGGTAAAACTTATACTCTATACAATATAAAACATTGCCAAAAGGAATTAAAGAAGATCTGAATAAATGGAAAGACAACTCATGTTCATGGACCTGATATTGTTAAGATGATGATACTCCCCAAATTGACCTATGGATTCAACGTAATCCCTGTCAAAATCCCAGATGACTTCCTTGCAGAAATTGACAAGCTGATCCTAAAATTTATGTGGGAATTTAAGGGACCCAGAATAGCCAAAACAATCTTGAAAAGGATGAGCAAAGTTGGAGGAATCACATTTCCTGATTTTGAAACTTACTACAAGCTACAGTAACCAAGATGGTGTGGACTGGCATAAGGATAGATATATAGATCAATGGAAAATAATTGAGAATTCATAAATAAACTCTCATATTTAGAGTCAGTTAATTTTTGACAAGGGTGCCAAAACAATTCAATGGAGAAAGGATAGTCTTTTTGACAAATGGTGCTGGGAAAACTTGATATCTATATGCAGAAGAATGAATGTGAACCCCTAACTTACACCACATTAAAGAAAACCTCAAAATGGAACAAAGACCTAAATGTAAGAGCCAAAATCATTAAACTCTTAGAAGAAAATACACACACAAATCATTATGACCTTGATTAGGCAATAACTTCTTAGATATAGCACCAAAAGAACAAGCAACAAAGTAAAAGATAAATTAGATTTTATCAAAATTAGTAACGTTTGTGTTTCAAAGGACACCATGAGGAAAGTGAGAAAACAACCCAAAGGATAGGAGAAAAATTTTCCAAAGCATTTATCTGGTAAGGGACTTGTATCTAGAATATACAAAAAACTCCTATAATAATTACAATAATAAATTATTATAATAATAAAAAGGCAAATACCCAATTTAAAATGAGCAAAGGATATGAATAGACTTTTCTCAAAAAAGATATACAATAGCAATAGGCACATAAAAGATGCTCAACATCATTTACCATCAGGAAAATGCAAATCAAAACCACTATAAGACACCACTTCATACCAGTTAAGTGAGGATAGCTATACTCAAAAAGACATATGTAAACACTGGCTAGGATCTAGAGAAATTAGAACCTTCATACATTGCTGGTGGAAATGTAAAATCATGGAGCCACTTTGGAAAACAGTCCAGTCGTTCTTCAAAAGGTTAAACAGAGCGTTACCAAATGACCCAGCAACCCCACCCTGAGGTATTTACCCAAGAGAAATGAGAATATATGTCCATACAAACACTTGTACATGAATGTTCACAGCAGCATTCTTCATAATAGCCAAAAAGTGGAAACAACTTAAGTGTCTTCAGTAAATGAATAGGTAAATAAATGCAGTATATCTATACAATGGAATATTATTCAGCAATAAAAAGGAATGAAATGTTGATATATGCTGCAACATGGATGAATCTCTAAAACATAAGAAGACAGACACAATCACATATTGCATGATTCCATTTATATGACATGTCCAGAACAGGAAAATCTATAAAGAAGGAAGGTAGATTTGTGGTTGCCTGAGGGTGAGGTGGGGGTGTTGGCTACAGGAGTTCTTTTGAGGTGATGAAAATGTTCTAAGTTTGATTGTGGGGATGTGAATATACTAAAAACTAATTTTTTTTAAATGAACATATCTTCCCATTTGTATTTGCCTTTGAAATGGAAGTCTTTTATTCTTTAGGACTTTTTTTTTTTAATTTATTTTTGGCTGTGTTGGGTCTTCGTTGCTGCGCACGGGCTTTCTCTAGTTGTGGCGAATGGGGGCTGCTTTTCATTGCAGTGCGAGGGCTTCTCATTGCCGTGGCTTCTCTTGTTGCGGAGCACGGGCTCTAGGCACGCGGGCTTCAATAGTTGTGGCTCGCGGGTTCCAGTAGTTGTGGCTCATGGGCTCTAGAGTGCAGGGTCTGTAGTTGTGGCGCAGGGGCTTAGTTGCTCTGCGTCATGTGGGATCTTCCCGGACCAGGGCTCGAACCTGTGTCCCCTGCATTGGCAGGTGGATTCTTAACCACTGCGCCACCAGGGAAGCCCGCTAAAAATTACTGAATTGTACATTAAATAAGTGAGTTGTATGGTATGTGAATTATATCTCAATTAGGCTGTTACCAAAAACTAACAAAAAACAGCAGTAGATCTCTCCACCCTGAGGAATACCCTCTTCCAGGAGGATGTAGGTCCATTATTTACTCCCTGAAGATACAGAAGCTCAACCAGCTGTGCTTCCCCAACCCCAATCATGCATCATCCAGTCCCTCTTTCTCTATCACATCTACCAGGATATTGTCTTGTCCTGGAAAGCCCATGACACACAAGGCAGCTCCATGATGGGGCAATAAAATTACAACAAGGAGGTGGCTGAGGTCAGACTCAGAGCCACCAATGGATGAGACATCAAGTCTCTGTGTCTGCCGGAGAGGTGACTTGAGCCCAGGGTAGAGGCCAAGATGACAGGGACTGGCAACTCCAAGAGTGTGATTGTCAATGGTGATGATGATGATGGTGGTGGTGGTGATTAGAGTTGACAATTACTGAGCACTTACAAGTCAGGCCTACAAACACATTATTTCTTTTCATTCTCATGACAATTTTATGAGAAAAAAGGTATTACCACCCTCACTTTATGTATGAGGGAACTAACTCTCAAAAGAAGTTATATAACTGGGCCAAGGTCACACAGCAAGGACAGGCAGAGGCAAGATCCCAGGTGTACCATGGTCAGCTGATATCAAAATCCTCCCAATGTCCCTGCACTAGCAGGATTCAGGAACATTTACACACAAATATCAGGGACTTTTAACCATGAAAGGCATTGCATGGGCAAAAGAGTGGCTCCTTAGAAGCCAGAGGCCTCCTTATCCCACTCGTGGTCTGTCCCAGAACCAGCGTCCACTGAATGAGTGCTTAGTGTTTTCTTCTCTCCCAGAAACACTGATGACAAGTTTCAGGGAAGACACGTGGGAACTGTAACTAGGCTGGCAATGGAAATGAAAGCCATCCCAGACCAGCACTTCTGGAGTGCCTGGAGGGAACACGCAACTACCAGGTCATGAGGGGAGGAGGCCCCAGGAGTGAGCAGGCTGTGGAGCAGAGTGTTGGCACTCAGCAACACTGACCTGAGGGCAGCAGCCTGTGAGCTGGGCAGTCTGGAACTTAGACCTAACTTCCCTCTGTGGTCCTCGGTTTCCTCCTTGTGTGCCAGATGGCCAGTCTGGAAGGGCTTCGAGGTCCCTGGCCATCAGCACAGCTGATGAGGACAATCTCATCCGTGCAGTCGTTGTGACACTCCCCATGCCCTGAGACCCTGGCCACAGCCCACAAGGCTCCAACCAACTCTCCAGTACCCTTTCTTACATCACTGACCTTGTTATGGGTTGAACTGTGTCCCCCCAAAAAGATATGCTGAAGTCCTAACTCCCTAGTACCTGAGAATGTGACCTTATTTGGAGACAGTGTCTTTGCAGGTACAATTGAATTAAGATGAGGTCATTAGGGTGGGCCCTAATCCAATGGGACAATGGCTGGTATCCTTATAAGAAGAGGAAATGCCATGTGAAGACAGAGACGCACAGGGAGAAGGTCACCCCGTGATGATGGAGTCAGAGGCTGAAGTGCTACAGCTGCAAACCAAGGAACACCTCGGGCTGCCAGAAAGTGAAAGAGGCAAGGAGAGGTCCTCCTCTAGAGGCATCAGAGGAAGCATGGCCCTACTAACACCATGATTTCAGACTTCTAGACTCCAGAACTGTGTGAGAATAAATTTCTGTTGTATTACACCACCAAGCTTGTGGTACTTTGTTATAACAGCCCTAAAAAAATAACACAGACCCCCAACATGCTTACATGCTCCCGCCACACCAGCCATTTCTGTTTCTCCTCAGGCCAAACTCCTTCCCACCCCAGGGGAAGGCCGTGCTGTTTTTTATGAATGTTCTAGACTCTCACTCCTCCCCCACATCTCTCTCTTGGTCCTCCAAACCCAGCATAAATGGCACTCCTTCAGGGAAATCTGGACTTGGGGTTTTCCAAGTTCCCCTCAGAGCAGCAACAGGAATGCATTCTTCAAAGCCCTCACCATATCTGCAGTGACTCATACTGACTTGCACAGTTATGCAAGGCCCATTGCACCTGCCCAGCTATAGGTGTTGTGACAACAGGGTTCTGGCCTGACACGTTCACAGGCATGTCCCATGCCTAGCACATTCCCTGACACACACAGCAGGAAGTCAGGACACAACTGTGTGGGCTGCATGGTATGTGGAAACTCCTGGGCTGGTATTTGAGGGCCCAGACATTGGGGCCTCGGCTGCCTCAGCAGCCTTCTCTCCAGTCAGACTTGGCCCCCAGCTCCACACTCCGGATGGCCTCCCTGCCTCCCTGCCTCCCCGCCTCCCTGGTCCCCATCATTCCTCATTCCCCTCAGCCAGGCCACATCTTACTCTTCCTGAATGACCTGGCCCTCATGTCTCCTGCAAGGCTTTCCTCAGAGCAGGTTCAAACTCAGGAAAAAGAGCCCAGAGCAGCAGCAGGCAACAAAGGGCAGTGAGGACAGAGTGGGGTGGAAGGAGGCCCCAAGACAATGTTGGGATTTTTTCTCTTTACAGCATACTCCAAGCATCAAACAACTAATACATGTTCAATGTCAGGAAAAGAAACCTTAAAAAACATAATGAGCAAAAAGGGAAAATTATACTAAAAATCACTCACATTCCCGCCACACAGAGTAATCATTGTTAGCACTTTTCGTATATCGTGTAGCCTTCCAGACCTTTTCTCGTGCAATGTGTATTTCTTAAAATGCAATTATACTGTTTTGTACTCTGTTTTTTTCCAATAAGAAACAATATACTAAAGGTATTTAAGAGTCAACATACAAAATTACATCATCATTTTAGTGGCTACCTAACATTCTATTATAAGATGAACCACGGTTTTGTTATTCAGTCCCCTATTGTTGGACATTTAGATAGTTTTTAGTTTTTCTCTGGTATAAACAACACTGGCACAAACATCTGAAAAACTGGTATCTTTGTGCCCTTGTCTCATTATTTTTTGATGAAGGATTCCCAGAAGTGAATTGCAAGGTCTACGATTCTATGTGCATTTTAAGGCTTCTAATGCATAGTGCAAATCTGGCCTATAAAATAGAGAACCAACCTCCAGGAGAAGCGGGCAGAGATGAAGCACAGGTTCAGGGGTGGAACAGTGGAGCTGACAGCAGTGGCATCACCCAGGGGAGGTGGTGCTGGCCGCTGGGCAGGATACTGGAGGCCCAAGGTTGCTTGGCACAGGGAGACTTTGGGGCAGCTGTGGACTGCTCACTCTGGGAGGACTCTGCTCAGGCCTTTTGTTTGGCAACCTTGACTTTCTTTGGTTCTGAAGCACTGGAGCCCTTGCCCACTGCAGGGGGCTCCCTTGTGAGCTCTTGTAGGGGAGAGAAAGTACAGTGAATTCGAATTCTCTCCATTCTTAGAAAATTATTCTAAAAAATGAGAGAGTTTTCTGGAAGCCTCCTTGCTCCTGAGAGGCCAATGGCACTTATGAACGTGGTGTGTCTTCTTGTGTCTGTTTGGGGTGTGGGGAAGGGTCTAGGCAAGGACCCTCTGGCCTGGGGACGTATGGACTGCTGTCGCTCTGTGGCTTCCACCCCAATCCCACTCCCGGGCGCCCCCTCCTCGAATCCAATCAGCTCACCAGTTTACCAGGAAGCAGCCAGAGACACTCCCCACCCCAAGGGGAAACACATCATGAAACTTGGTCCTGGCACCTTCCACCCCTTTCTGGGAAATCAAGGCACAGAGCCAGCTGGGTTTTGGAGCCGCCTACCTGGTTCACGTCCCCACTCCCTCCTTTACTAGCCAGGGGACTGGGGCAAGTTAATTCACCTCATTGAGCCTCAGATTGTCCATGAGGTTAGTATTATACCTTCCTGACAGGGTGGCTGAGGGGATTAATTGAAACAATTTATGTAACGCTTGGCATAATGTCTGGAGCACGGTGAGCACTTTATTATTATTACTATTATTATCATTCACGCGACTGCCTTTTTGGCTGGAAGCACCAGTTTCTCTCTGAGAAGTCATAGGCGTTGCCACTTCCTGTGGAGAGCCAAAACCCCACTCTTCTGCAGGGCTTCTGCTCCCACTAAGCTTTTTACTAGAAGGCTGTCGTTACAGGAAATAACTCTTCATTTTCCCCGCCTCTGGCCTGATATCACAGTCTTCAGAAAAAGAGGATCTGCATCTGGAAATCAGAATAAAACAAGCAGGTAGGGCAGCATGGTGTAGTGTGTGTGCTTGGCTGGGTGTGTGAAGTGCCCTGTGGGTGTTGGTAGAGTGGGCTTGATTGTGGGTGCTTGAGGGGCAGCCCGTTCAGGGCTGTGACTGCAGGGAGTTTGAGGGAGTTTCTGAACACCCTTGGTCTGGGGGATGGGCAGTGGAATGCGGGATTTCTCAAGCTTTCTCCCTCACCCCAATACTGGGACGTGGCTCACCAGGGCCTTGGTGGGAAGGCTCTTCCTCCCTCCTTGGGCGGCAGGAAATAACCTCCCCAGCGCAGCCCAGTGCAGCTGTGGTTTGGTGAGATGCCAGGGCTGGAGTGCTGTGGCGGAAGTTTCCATTGTTTTTAACCTTTCATTTTCAGGCTGCACCCTGAGAGGCCGTCCTCAGTTGCTGGGAGCCCTTGTGCCGGGCCTTCTCTCCTTGTTGCCTTCCAGAAACAAGCTGCCGTCTGGGAGGCAGAAGGTAAGATCAGGAGAAGCCCAGCCTGAGTTCCAAGGCTGAGGCCCCTGCAGAAGCTGCAGAGGTGGGTGGCAACCTTCTGGCTGCCCTGCCCCTACCCTCTGAACTGTAGTTTTCAGCTTTGCTGACTAAGGTTCTTCTTGGGGTGGATTGTGGGGAGAGGGAAGCCCCGGTCCCCAAGGGTCCCCAGGTGGGTGATACCTCACGGGACACTTTCAGGTCTAGGTCTGGGGTAGTTGCTGTCTTCTTTCTTTGCTACACCTGTGGTCTCACTGGGCTTGGGTGGGGTGTGTATGTGGAGCGCATGCATTTCTTTCTCCACCTGCTCTGTTTTCAACAAATCTCTCTTGGATCGGAGCTCTGGGATGCTGTATGCCCAGCCTGTCCCCTCGAGGCACCTCCAAGAGCAGCCTCGTATGGCTGGGCACCAGGGAAACATAGAGCTGGGGCAAGTGCCCAGCCAGAGCCTCAGTCCCAGAACAATAGGAGAGTGAGGGGAACACAACCATGGATTTCTTGATATCCACAGATGCCCCACTCCAGTCTGCATCCATCCATCCCACGGCCCAGGGATCACAGGGCCCAGAAAGCAGCCTTGGTCCTGCTAGGTGCCTGCCTGGTGGCCCTCTGGGGGCTGGGGGAGCGGCCAGACTACACTCTGCAGTGGCTGGTGCTCCACCTGGCCTCCCAGCAGATGGGGCTGCTGATCAAGGGGGTCTGCAATCTGGTCGAGGAGCTGAGCCACGTCCATTCCAGGTGACTCCCTGCAGTACCCATGGCGATTAGGCACCCAACATGTCTCAGTCCCTTGACCCCCAGCCCTGCCCCTCCTTGAATCTCTCTGGCTGAGCTGGGCTGGGGTCTGGAGCCTGGCTGTCACTTGCAGGTACCAAGGCAGCTACTGGAAGGCTGTGCGGGCCTGCCTGGGCTGCCCCATGCGCCGTGGGGCCCTGCTGCTGCTGTCCTGCTATTTCTACTTCTCCCTCCCAAACGTGGCTGGCCTGCCCTTCACTTGGATGCTTGCTCTCCTGGGCCTCTCACAGGCACTTAACATCCTCCTGGGCCTCCAGGTACGATACAAAGAGAGGTGAAGGGTCTGTTCAAGAGGAGGTGTGGCACATGTGACCTGCTCTGAGCTTAGTACTGGGAGTGGGACTAATTTAGAGGCTGGTCCTTGGATGGAGCCTATAATGGTCTGGGTTCAGCAGTGGCGGAGAATGGAGCCAAATGACAGCAGGTTGGGTAATCTTGGGGGGAGGAGGAGGAGGGTTCATGTTGTTCTTCATGGAGGCCCCCCAGCCCCACCCTGCTGTCCACAGGGCCTGGCCCAAGCAGAGATCTCTGCAATCTGTGAAAAAAGGAACTTCAATGTGGCTCATGGGCTGGCCTGGTCATATTATATTGGGTACCTGCGGCTGATCCTGCCAGGTGAGCCATCCTCTCTGCCCCCATTTCCAGATCTACAGGACAGACAGTAAGACACACAACCTTGTGTTTCCAGAACTCACTATATTTTCAAAGCATTTTCATGTCTAACAAACCATTTGATTCCCAGAACAATCTTGTAGGTGTGAAGCTGTTATTATTATGCCTGGTTGACAGGAAGAAATTTGGAGCTTAGATCCATTAAGTGACTTGTCCCAAGTCACCCATGAATTCTTTCAATAAATATTTGCTACATACTGTATGCCCTTCATGCGCACTTTCTCTTTTAATTCACACCCTGTGAGGAAGGGATAATCATCACCCCTGTTTTCACAGCTATTCTGAAAGATACAGTGACCTGTCCAAAGTCACACAGCTTAGTTAGAGGAGGAGACAGGATTTGAACCCAGGCCTGTCCAGAGCCTGGACCCTTGACTACCCCACTGGGAGCCCACGGGTCGTGTCTCATTCCTCTGACTTGCTGGTCAAGGCCATGGTTCTCCCCTGTCTCATGGCTGCCTTCCCTTGACACCAGGGCTTCCTCTAGAGGCCTGGCTCAGTGCACGTGGGCCTGCTGGCATGTCACCTCCCAGGACTCTTCCTGCCTCTCAGAGCCCTGAAAGCTGTGGTGGGAAGGAGTGGGGCTGACAGAAATCTGGACAAAGGTCAAGTGAGGGAGAGAAAGGGGTGGTGGGAGTAGGTGGAGGGGCGGGGAGGATGCTCACATGCTCTTCCCGTCCTGGCCTCCCAGGCAATGTGAGTGGACTGGCCCCTCGGTTCTCTTGCACCCACACATTGAGGGGAACAGTGATGTGGGTCTCTGTCCTGAGTTGGGTGGGAGACACAGTTGGTAGAAATGACTTCTTGGGCCTCTCCACCCCAGGGCTCCAGGCCCGGATCCAAATTTACAATCAGTTCCACAATAATGTGCTACGGGGCGCAGGAAGCCAACGGCTGCACATCCTCTTCCCGTTGGACTGTGGGGTGCCTGACGACCTGAGCATGGCTGACCCTAACATTCGATTCCTACACAAGCTGCCCCAGCAAAGTGCTGACCGTGCTGGCATCAAGGGCCGGGTTTACACCAACAGCATCTATGAGATTCTGGAGAATGGGCAGCCGGTGAGTGTGCAGGGAAGTGGGAATGCTGGGGAGGGATCAGGCCTAGAGACCCAGAACTCTGGGCCCTGGCCAAGCCCTGATAAAAATTCACTGCCCTTCTCTGAGCCTCAGTTTCTCCAATTGGTGCCAGGGCTGGGACCAATTGAGCTCTGAATGACGAAACTGACAAGTAACATTAATTGGGCACTTACTGCATGCCAGATGCTATTCCAGGTGCTTCATCTGACTACCTCACTGCATCCTCACCACCACCCTGTGGGGTAGGGACTGTTATAGCCCCTACTTTACAGAAGAGGAAACCGAGACTCAGAGAACCAGGGAGAAAGTGGACAATTTCACCTTGAGTATACCATGCTCTTGACCATAAATCTGCCCTAGATGAAGGCCGTGAGAATGTGTGAAGGATTTCACGTGGGCTATGGGGAACCCAGCCAAGGCTGAACCCCAGAGCCCCATCCCCAGACTTGACTGCCAGCTGGAGCAGTTGACAGCCTAGCTCAGTGGGCCTTGCCCTGAGAATCTTAGGAGGAGGATCTGGGAAGGGTAAATTTAACGCAGCCCTGGCCCTGATTTAGGACTGGGGTGTCAGAGGCAAAGGCCAACCAGACAGTATAGACCCCATCAGGTGGCCACCTCCCCTGACTCCGTCCCCACAGATTGAGCCGTGGCACTGGGGTCCAGCGTCTGTCTGCCTGGCCCCTGGTTGAGTCTGGTCTTCCTTTTACCTCCTCCAGGCAGGCATCTGTATCCTGGAATATGCCACCCCCTTGCAGACCCTGTTTGACATGTCACAGGATGGCCGAGCTGGCTTTAGCCGGGAGGACCGGCTTGAACAGGCCAAACTCTTCTGCCGGACACTTGAAGACATTCTGGCAGCTGTCCCTGAGTCTCAGGACAACTGCCACCTCATTGTCTACCAGGGTGAGGGGTTGATAGGCTTAAGGGCAGGAAAAGCTGGGGTCCCCAGGGGTCTCCCAGGGGGTCAGCAGGAGATATGGCAGCACCACGCCCGGGTCTTCCTGAGTGGTCAGGGCATTCAAGCCCTGCCCCTTCCTCCCCTGGAAGGAAGAGGAGAGGTCCCATCTCCCCACCGTGGGATACCTGATTGCTTTCTGAGGTCTTTGGCTATGGGTCCTGGGTGGAGTGTGAAGAGGTGGGCTCTAGGGGCCTCTCACTTCATCTAGGGATGCTAGAAGAAGCAGATAGCCCCAGGCCAGGAGCCAAGAGACCAGGGCTGCAGCCTCAGCCATGCCACTCCCTTGCTCTGTGACCTTAGGCAGGTATCTGCCCCTCTCTGAGTATCATCTCTAAAAGAAAGAGGGTGGAATTCTCTTGTCTCTAAAACCACTGCTAGCTCTAGGATTTCATGAAACTCTAGCCCCAGTGGCTAGGATTGGGGAGGAGGTGCAGGGAGGTGGGAGAGAGGGAGGGTTGGAGGATTCACCCAGCAAGTCCTCTGGGTGTGTTAGAGTGGGAATGTGTGAGGCCCTCACCCCACTCCCCACCCCTACCCTCGTTCCAGAACCGGCAGAGGGAAGCAGCTTCTCCTTGTCACAGGAGATTCTCCAGCACCTTCGGCAGGAGGAAAGGGAAGTTACCATGGGCAGCATGGGGACCTCGGTGATGCCCGTTTCCTCCACACTGTCCCAAGAGCCTGAGCTCCTCATCAGTGGCATGGAACAGCCTCTCCCGCTCCGCTCGGATATCTTCTGAGGCCCAGGGTCACCTTCCCTGAGCCCCTGGCCATCCCCAAGACTCTGGATTGGAGGATTTCTTTCTTCAGCAGCTAGAGGCCTAGCAGAGCCATTTCCTCCCATAGAGGGCCTCTCAGAGAAGGTCCCTGAGTTTGACATCTCAAGATGAATCCTATGGCCTTGGGCAAGTTGTTTCACCTCTCTGAGCCTCAGTGTCCTCATCTATGAAATGGGATTATAATCATTGCCCTACCTACCTCACAGGGTAGTTTTTGTGAGGACTATGGCTGTATGGGTTTTTTGTAAACTCTAAATGCCAGGTAAACTTAAAGGATCTTTCAGGTGTCTTCCATTGGACCCTCAGACCTACTCTCTACCTTTCCTCTGTCCTGGGATGGCTTCAATAGGCTCCCTTGCCCTCTGGCTTCTGGTCACATTCAGTCAATGGGAAGCCCCAGTGGGAGAAGGAGGGGAAGGGAAGGGTGAGCTTGGGGTATCTATTCCCCCAGGTCCCTCCCTGCAGTATCAAGGTCACTGTGGGCTCTCTCTAGACCTAAAGGAGCCTTTCAGTAACCCTGTCTATCTCCAGGTCTCATTAACTTCCTCCTCCTCATGCCCCTTCAGTCCTGGCAGTGGTATTGGAGCCTCACTGATGCTCAGTCTGGAGCGCTCACTCTCACTTGTAATTTCCTTACACCTGCCCTTTCTAAATAGTCCCCTTTTTTAAAAATTTTTGGCCACACCATGCAGCATTTGGGATCTTAGTTCCCTGACCAGGGATTGAACCCACATCCCCTGCAGTGGAAGCTTGGAGTCTTAACCACTGAACCACCGGGGAAGTCCCTAAGTAGTCCCCTTTTTAAACACTCCTCAGATTATTTGAGTATGCCATCTTTTTCTGGCCAGACTGACTGATACAGGTGGTTGGCCATTATTATCTGCAATGTCCAAATCTGGTTGCACAGACACATTTCCGTACACGCCTCCTCATCCTAGTACAGGGCCATAGGGTGGTAGCTATCATTTCAGTGTAGACAGAGCCCACCAGCTGGGCTGACGGTATAGAGCTGGGCAGCACCCCCGCTCCACCTGTCCTTTCAGTGCCCTTGTCTCCAGTGGGAGGCTTGGGGGACAGGGAGGGGCCTGAGGCAGCACACAGATGCCATGACGGTTACACACATGTGTCCTGGGCAAGGGGCTGCTCAAAGAAGCAGGAGCTAAATGTCTCCAGATGAGAGTCCCCTGGATAACGGGGGGAAGAGGGTTTGTGTGAGGTAATGGGATATACGCTGGGGACCTTGGACAACACAGCTGGCCACCTGCCATACTTTGTGCCATCACTGTTAGACCTGAGCCATTGCAACGACACCGTGGAGGCAAAATTGCCCCCATCTGGGAGGCCAGACGCCCATTTCTGCCACTTCCATCCATTCCACCCAAGACTTATTCCCTCCCTCCCACCTTTGTTTTTATCGCAAATGCTTTGTTTTTATCGCAAATTTCTGAGTACAGTATTACTGTGGAAAAAAACTCCACACACAGACACACATTGGCCAGAAGCAACGCACTGCTCCCAAGGATGACAGAGAGTAAAGAGAGAGCCAAGGGAGTGAAGGGGGAAAGTCTCCTCTCCTCCCCCACTGTGCCAGCCATTCTGCCCCTGAAGATCCCCCAGCTTCACATCAGTCATTCCAACACCTAAAAACCAGCCCAGAATTAAGGGTATCCCCAACATAACCTTTCCGTACCCATCCGGCCCCCAACATGGTGCTCAGACTATGGAGACTGATGGCCCCAGGTTCAAATCCTGATTCCACCACTTAGTACTTGTGTCCTCCTGGGTGACTTGATATCCCCAGCTGTAAATGGAGATAACAGTGGCTCCTCCTCCCAGGGCTGTTATGAGGAGTAAACAGTATAATATCCGTAGGTCCATGGATGAGTCTGGAGCCCACAAGAAGGAGCAACTATTAACATTAGAGCTGCCTCTTACCAGTCTCAGTGGAGGCAAGCCAGTGCTCTGCACACATTACAATCCCCGTCTCTGTTCCTCTTCATCTTCTGTTATTTCTCAGAGTCCTTGACTGTGCTGGGGTCTCACCGAGGACAGTCCCCAGGGTTGACTTGTTGCCCTGAGGTGTTCCCCAGAGTAAAGCACCCAGAAGTTCCTCCATAAATGTCTGTCTGCATGTTCTTGACTGCACATAAGTGAGGCTCAAAGGTGTCAGGGGAAGGGGTACCTTTCCAGAGAGCCACTGGGAGGCTCTGTTCTGCCTTCTTGGCCTCCTGCATCTTCCCAGCCTCCATGTCCCGCCCCCTGCAGGGATCCCCACCCCTTCCTCTCCCCAGACAAACTCCATGGAGCTCCTTTTCCTTTCCTGTTTTCCCACCAGCTGGAAGATTCTGGATCTGGGAAATGTCCTGGGGTAAATGCTAGGCTAGTTCTAACAGGCCAATGCGCACAGAAAGTGGGAGGTATTGAGAGCCCCCCCCCACACCAGTTTCCTCTATCCCATCCTGGGAAGGCAAGATAGAGTCTTGCTCCAAGATAGTGGGGGCAATTCAAAGACAATTTGGGGAGCTATGATTGGAGCTTGGGGCTTTTAAGGGCCTTGGAAGTTGTTGGCAAGACCTGGTCCCTGACAGCCAAAGGTAAAGGGTAACAGATTTTCCTTCCTTTCCTAAGTCTCAGAGAAGGCAGACCCCTGGGTTCTTTGCCTTGGCTCTCCGTGGCTGGCCCTCACAGGCTGTGGGGACGGGTCCTCTACCAGGAGTCTCTGACATCCCTGCACAGGGGTGGGGTGGGTGGTGGAATCTTCCAAGCTAGACTCACTTTGACACCAAAAGGGGAGGAGATGAGGAGTTGAGGAGGGAGTAGTAACTCAGAGAGGGAGGTTCAGTGGTCTGGTGGTCCCTGAAGAGGAGGGGGTAAGTTTGTAAGGACAAATTGGACCCTGGGAATGCTCACAGCAGCATTCAAGCTTCTTTTATTTCTTTGGTCCATGACAGGGCTTTCTGTATAAATACTCTGCTGAGAGGGCAGCTCCAGCTAAGTCCATGTGTGCCCTTACGAAGCGCTGATGCCCAGGTCCCAATTTGCTTTTGCCCTAATTCTCTGTCCAGTTTCTTGTTCTGAGCCAGGTCAGGCCAACTTTCCAAAGTCTCCCTCCTACAGAAATGTGACTTCATCAATGCTGAACCTGGGCCCATCTGGCACAGGGCAGGAGTCAGAGCCAGGAGGTTCCTGCTGGGCGTCTTCGTGACTGTCCTGACGGCCCAGCACTCGCCAGTGGGTGAGAGAGATGCCACCCTCTGGCTTTGGGGATGGTGGCTCTGTGGCGAGAGTGGCATGGCCCTTGTGTAGCCTTGGCCCACAGTGGACTGCCACCACGATACAGACTGCCAGCAAGACAAAGGCAGTGACAATGACAGTTAGCAGGGGCAGCCCGACCCCTTGAGGTGGTTCCCAGGTCCCGCCCAGCACCTCCGGAAGTTGCCTCTGGGGCACCTGCCCCGCTGAGCCGTTCACAGCTGCAGAAAGCCAGGGATGGTGGCCAGCCTGGGAGGGAAGCAGCAGACAGAGAGGGTGACATGGGCACGTACACACAGAAAAAGACCAAAATAGAAAGAGATAGACACCCAAAGGGAACTGAGAGAGAGAGAGAGAGAGAGAGAGAGAGAGAGAGACAAAGAAAGACAGAGAGACAGTAAAGACAGAGAGACAGTAAAGACAGAGAGAGAAGAGACACAGAATCACAGAGATAAACACACATAACAATAGAGAGAATGAAAGAAAAAGACAGAGGGGGATACAGAGAGAATGAGAAAGATACAAAGAGAGAGACAGAAAGAAAAAGAGAGAGATGAAGAGACGGAAGTGAAGATAGATGCAGAGAAACAGAGGGGGAAAAAAAACAGAGATAAGGCAACAAGGTCATTCGGAAAGGGACAAAGAGAGGGGCTTTATTACAGGCTGGCATATAAAGTTTGCCTCCCCACCCCCCCAAATCCCCTGCCAAGTCCCCTCACACTGCTCTCTCTTCCCAGGTCCTCAGGAAAACTCCTAAATAGATCCTATGTCCTGGGTCAGGAATCTTAGCACACTATGGGCTGCTGTCCCATGTCCTGGCCAGGGGGCAGTGAACAGCTATTCCTTAAAGTCCCAGGAAAAAGGAGTCATTTTGTCCAGCATCTTACGTTCCCACTACTCTCCACATACACAGTAGGAAGAGGGGTGTACCCCGGGGAGAGGGAGAGAGGAAGAGGAGGCATGAACCCCAGAGGCTTGGAGTGAGGCAAGAGCTATACCCCAAAACACCCTGCTCAGAATCAGGTTCAGGGGCCTGGAGGGGAGGGAATGCCCAGTGTGGATTCCTGGCTTTGTCCAAGATGGACTGAGGAGACCCCACGCCAACCTCTGTTCTCCTTCAGGGTCTTCTACCAAAAGCTGGGGGTCACTATCCCTACCTCTGTCTGTCTCTATCCTGCTAAGTATTGAGAGGGGGTTGGGGGGATTACCATCAAGGTAGCAAACCTCCATATTGTAAGCCCCAGAGCTGACGAAGTTATCACAGGCTCAAGAAACTATCTCCTTAGTCTTCTCTTCCCCAGCTGGACCTTGAGGAGCAGACCCTTGAGGTGGAGCCCTTCCCCTAACCCTGAACCCTCAGCCTGGCCATCCCCATGGGTAGGCACCTGGGGTCCAGGAAGGGCTGGCCAGAACAAACCCACTCCCTTTAGTTCCTGAGTCACACTGTCCACCCCATCCCTCCCCAGTACCTGTCCCTCGGCATCTGGAAAGCTCAATACCTACGTCCCCACCTTGCTTGAAAGTCAGAGCTCTCTGGGGCCCAGGCCACAGAGCTCCCAGGCCAGGCGGTGGGGAAGCAGCTCCGGATGTACCGGGGAAAAAGGGAAGCACAGGCTGGTGAAAGGCTTGGGGCCCCTGGGGAGAGTCTCACCAGCGTGGCGGGAGGGGGTGAGCTGAGAATCTACCTGATGCATTGTCCGGCTGCGCAAGGCTCCCTCGGGACTGGCGGCCAGCCGGGCAAAGGAGAGCCTGCCTCCCCAGCTCGGTCCCTACCCGGAGCTGCCACGTCTATGGGGCTTACGGGGCACACACCCTCTGCACGCGCAGCCTCAACTCTCTCTCCTGCGCTTTTACTTCCTCGAACATCTGGACTACCCCGAGCCCAGCCCTCAACTCTGACAGTGCTTTGATCTGACTCCTTGGCACCTCCTTTCATGCCCCCTGCCAGCTTCAGGAGCCTAGGTCTGCCTGCCTGTACCTCCTCCACAAGATCCCAGGCACTTGGCCAGCGCCTTAATCCCGCCCCGCCCCCCACCAGGACTTGCCTGCTCTCTATCCCAACTGATTCCTTGAAGTCATTATCTTTGATGTTTTTTAAAAACGCGATTTCTCAAACACACTGGAAAGTGCAGACTATAATATACTAAATCTCTCTGGCCCAACCACTAGTTCTGTTCATCTCAATAGTCTGTCACATTGATTTCAAAACATTTTAAGGACTAAAACATTACAAATAAAATAGAAGCCCCGCTCCCTGACCTCTCCCCTCCTTCTCACTGTAGGGATAAACATCTTGTTGAATTTGATATTTATCATTCCCATGCAAGGCATTCTTTTCTCTTTGGGTTCTTTGACTTTCACAAATATAAATTCTGGTATGTCTCTTTGCACTTGTCTGTAACTTCATTTGTGAATGTGTGTGCTTTAATGCATCCAAGACACAAAAAGTGCCCACCAGTCTCTCCTCTCCCCGGAGACAGTTTATAAAGGATAATTTTGGGTTCCCAACTAACTCCATGGGACCAGCCATCCCTCAATCTGTCCCTTGCTGTGCATGCACCACCCTCTATTCCAGTCTGGAGACCAGGAGACCCCCCAGGAACTCCCCTCACCCAGTGATTTGATCCCAGGAAGTAAGATGTAGCCTCCTGATTCCTTGTCTCTCAGCCCAGCTGCTACACACCCTAACGTTTAGGGACCCCACTCAGACCTCCAAGCTCGCTTAAGCTGCTGGTCGTTGGGCTGCTGACTTGGCCTGCAGAGTGAGTGCAACTGGCTGGCTGGATGCTAAGGACAGGGTGCTGCTGGAGTACAGGGAACACCTGACCCCAACGTGAGGGGAGGGCTGAGGGAGGGATGCTTAGAACGTGGTCCTCTTGTTTTTCTATTCAGAATAACAATAATGTTTGTAAGGTCTCCCTGAAAGATGTAAGGAGTCCCATCTGCGTCCGGAGCCCTGAGGAGGGAGAGGCATGTAGAGGATTCAGTCTACAGAGGGTGGGCGGCCGGTGGGCCGAGCTGTAGGGCTCAATGAAACAGAGTTACACTCCAAGAAAACCTCCAGGTGGTGTACGGAGGGACCGATGGATCCCCACGGAGGGGAAGAGAGGGGGCACGGGGCCAGGTTGCCATCGCTGGCTTTTGGGCACAGGTCCTGGAGGAGACCACGGTGGCCCTAGCCCAGGCCACGAGGAGCCCGGGCGCAGGCGCGGCTGTTTCAGCCTTACATCCTCAACTGGGCTGCCGGGCTGAGCAGGGCCCCTGGAGCCAGTCCCAATCTGTTTCCTTCTATTCTTTGACAGGAAGCTCTGGAGAGTCAGCCCCCACCCCCATCCTGCCCCAGCACTCCCTCTCTCTTTTCCACTATGGACAGAGCCTCCGCACAGAGGCTGCCTGCCTGCCGCCGACCCAGCTGACATGGGGAGTGTCGGAGAAACGCAGCTGTGCTGGGCCATCCTGGGCTTCCTCCTGCTCCAAGGTAAGAGGCACCTGCCACTGTCCTTCAGCAGCTCCTCTCCTGCGGCCGGCAGTCCTGGGCGCCTGTCTCTCCTTCAGGACACACACCACACAGGCTCTGCATCCAGGGCTTCGCTCACCCGGAGGGAAATTCCAGAGCCTTTTTGTGAAGGGGACCACTTGGCTTGGGAGCTGGTCATTCCCAGGCAGCGGTAAAATAGAGGTATGGTTAGACTCTTTTGTGGGACATTTTCCAGGGTGAACTGGGGCCCCCGGAGAGGCTGGCCCCCTGAAATGTGGGAGGTGACTGTCTTGGTGTGAGGCTGAGGCTGGAAAGCTCCTTCCAGGGTGTCCTAGCACAAAACTGTCTGTACCTTGGCTTTACAGGTGATCTTTTTTCTTCTTTCATATGAGGAGTAACAACCTGGGATTTCCAAATATTGACTTTATGCTCAAATCACAGCAAGAGGGACTCAGGTTAGATACAAAGAACCATTTGCCAAAGAAGATGTACACATTTCATCTAGGAGGCCAGATGAAATGACCCCCAGAGGAAATGACTTGGGAACAACACCTCTCAGATAGAGTTCTGCTAGCTGTTGTGAAGCAGCTCATAAGGGGTCCTCTAATTAGGGAGCGGTTTCTGGGAAACATGAGAAATCCAGGAGATTCTGACTCACAGGGCAGAAACTTCCCTTCGGTCATCCCTTCCCCACCCCCACCTCACCCTCCACAGGTCCTCTGTGGAGGATTTATGAGCATGTGCTCAAAGCGGCAGAAGGGGGTTCAAGAGTATTTGGATGGGGAGGGAGGATGGCGGTTTCTTGGCGGTGGGTGAGAGGGCCCAAGTTCCCCAATGCTCTGTCTCCTGGAGAGGTCAGACATTTTTCTAAAAGCCCAAGGACTGGGGATAAAACTCTGATTGTCCCATTCCTATTCCCCCACCCCCTCCCGGGAGGATAGAGTCACACATCTGATCTGGGGCTGGGGGACTAGGCTATCGTAGAAACCTCAGAAATGGCAGAGGAGGAGATTAAAAGGTGAGACCCACGAGGGGACATTTTCACAAACCTAGGCTTGTCCCAGCTTCCCTACCTGCCATCCTGTCCCAGCCAAGCCCCAGGGTTAGGAATGTCCTGAGTGATTCTACCTGAGCTACAATCACCCTTGAGTATCCTAGCCGCTCATCCCAGGATCTCACAGCCCTGGCTGTTTCCTTCTTTTGGTGGACTGGGGAATCTTTTTGAGGATATTCAGGCCCACAAAGAGACGTGACTGTGGAGACACAGATTCAGGGCAGACTTGAAACTTGGAGGATTGGAGAGAAGGGGGCAAAATTTTAAATGTTTAGAATTTCTTGAGCATGAACTGTCAGGCCCTGTGTTAAGTGCTTTATGTGCCTTTTCTTATCCTCACAATGACTTTTGGGCTACTAAAATCACTTGCATTTTAAAGAAGAGAAAACTGAGGCCCAGGTCAGACAGTAAGCGACAGAGTCAGGGCTTGAACTCAAGACCGCCAGACTCCTAAATCTATGAGTTTAACTACTAAACTATGCTGCTGAGGAAAACAGTGTGGTGGTGGTGAAGAGGGGGAAGAGAGAGGCTGGCAGGGAGTGAAGCAGGTAGGGATTAGGGAGGGGAGACAGGAAAGTAAGATATCCCTGTGACTAGTGGTCAGAGGCAGACCGGCCTATAGAAACAGATGCTCCCCAAGTCCCTCCTCTACTCACAGAGGAATCCACTGTTGACAAACTGTTCCGGTAGGGGGAGGGGAGACAGGAGACAAAGAGAGAGCAGGCCACTGGGACTCAGAGCTTGTGACTTTGGAACTCCTTCTAAGACACTAGTTTTGCTTCTAGATAAACGCAGGAAGGCAGTGAACTGTGCCTTCCCACTAAAAACTAGTTATCACCTTATAGAACAAAGATGGTACCTTAGATATGTTTGATCAATAACTGATAGATTTTTTTTTTTTTTTTAAGACATGCCTCAGATTGAAAAATGTTCACCCAGGGTGATTCCCCAGCTGGGAAGAGTTCTCTCTATGCTGGGGCACCTAGAGGTTTTAACTCCCCTCTTGACGGCCCCACCCAAGGAGGGAATGGGGCTATGAGAGATGGTGACCTGGAAAAACACAGCCCTGGCTTTGGGCAAGCTTGGGCTTGGAAGCAATTAATTCCACACTATCCAAGTGATAGCACCATGGAGGAAGGCAGTGGCTGAAGAAAATAAACTAGTGGGCTGCCCCAGGCTGGGCAGGTCCCCGGCCCTCAGCAGCCTCTGTTCACCGGGGCCTGGGCCCCCAGCCCAGCTAGTGGAGGACGGGAACCCAGCTGGGCGGCTCCACTTCCCCACGTTGTTTTCCTTTCACATTGTTCACAGGTTTCAAGAATGATTTCATTGTGGAAAATAAGCAAACACAACCTGACCTTTCAGATCCCATACACACAGGGGACACGTATATGGACACACAGCACACAGGCCCATCTGCCTGGAGGTCCGCAGGCACACTCATGCACACACACAAAGGAGAACGAGGCCTTGTGACTGGGGCCTCCTGATAATTGCCTCTTCCCTGGGTTTGGCTAACAGTGACCATTTCTGAAGTAGCCTCTATCTGTTAGAGTAAACTGGTGGCTCGTTCTAGAATTTCCTTGCCTCCTGTATGTACCTCAGAATTTGCTTCCTGTGTAGGCCCTTACCTCCAGCTGGAGGGGCACAGAGACAGCCCAGGTACCAACCCCAATCCCTCACCTCATCTTATTCACCACATCTTTCCATCCCCTTCCCTTGGGGCAAGACCAGGATGACAGTATTCACAGAAAAGGGGTGGCTCCATGGTAGTGTAGTGAGAACATTAGCTAGAGAGCTGGAGTTCTGGGTCTTTGTCTAGACGTGGCAGGTCACTGGCCCTCTGTCCTTGCACGTATCACTACTTTGGAATAACCTTCCCCTGCCCTTGTGTCAGGTTGGTATATAACCCATGTGGGACTGAAGAGACGGGAAAGGACTCTAGGACAATGAACCATGAGGTGCTGGTGATGGTGTGATTGAGTCACAGTCTCAGAGGAAGCCAGCGCCGTGAGCTGGAGTCACATCCTCTAGCCTACTGCCAAGGGTGTCTGCCTTCTTGCGTGGGAGGCTGGAAGCCAAAAGGCCTGGGTTCTTCTCCGGGGAGGCTCACCAAGCTAGTCTACGTGTTCTGCTTTCTCTTGCAGGCCACAACTCCCTGCCTGCGACAACTAGCCCTCAGGGTAAGACCAAAGACACAGGGCCTACTCCAGCATTCTGGCCTGGGAGCTGAGGAAAAGTGGAAAAAGCTCCAGGAAAGAGTTCCTGTTTGGCACTAATCTTTCACATGCCTTGAGAGAGGAGAGAGATGACAGGTTGGGGTGTGGGGTGGGGGAGGAAGAAAGACTAGAAAACACCAGCTTAGCAAAGGAGAGAGGCAGATGGAGCAATAGGAGGCAGCGGACCCTCAGTCTCAGATGATCTGTTTCAGGAAACTTCAGCAGTCATAGTCCAACCACAGAGCCAACTTCCCCCCAGACAGGTGAGTGAGTGTGGTTGCCTAGGGGCCAAGCCCTGTCCCTTGCCCAGCCCTTTAGATCTGCTTGGAGCCCAAGGGTTCTCGGGTGGGCTAGGGAGTGTGGTGTCACCAAACCTGCCCCACCTCCAGCTGCCCTCCACTTGTACTTGCAGGAGACGGTCTTTCCGCAGAGCCCAACTACTCCAGCCCTCTGTCCAGCACCAGCATCCCAGGTACTCTGCCACTCAGATTACAGATGCCATCCAGGGAGGGTCCAGCGAGAAGGCAGACACAGTTTCTGCTCTAAAGGACAATACAGATAAGTGGAGGACCAGACAAGCAAATAGGACCTCATATTGACAGTTACAAAGCGGGGTGAGAAGGGCCATGATGAGCGTAAGCCGAAGGTGCTATGGGAACCCGGGCAACATTAGCCACTTCAGACTTGGGGGCCAGACATCCCAGAGTGAGTGATCTCTGAAGCTGAGGCCCAAAAAGGAGTTAATCAGATGAAGACTGTGGGGTGGAGGGTGGTAGGGCATATCCCAGGGAGAGGGAACTGCACAGTTAAAAGCCCAGAGGAACGGAAGGCAGACTTGGGGCTAAAGAGCTTCCCTGCGCACATGCTGGTCGAGGCCCTAAGCAGGCCACGCATGCTTCCTAATCTGAAGCAGCTCCAGAGAAGCCCTCACAGGTCTCCATGGAAGCCAGTAAACCCATGACTCTGAGTTCAAGCACCGTGGCCGGTCACCCCTGTCCTTGCTGGGACTGACTTGGTCCCAGCCACAGAAGCACACGTTAGGACTCCATGAGTACCTGAGACTGGGGGTGAAAAACCCTGGGTCATGTCTGACTGGGTTCCTTCTTCCTGCCTCGGGAAGCCCAGGTCCTGCCCCACAGTGAGGGTTCTCAAGGCCAGGATCCACACCAGTGGTACCTTGCTCTGGGAGAGAAGTAGAGAGGCTTGGGGTTGGGGGGAAGTGGAGACAGGAACTGGTCTCAGTGAAGGTTAAAGGAGCCTGGACTCAGGACTGATAAAGACATAGAACGGGTAAGCCGAGGGTAGGAGAACCCAAAATGTTGGAAAGGGAGGCAGAAAAGGCGGGAAAGGGCTACACGCTTCTCAGGGCAGGTTGGCCTTCACCCAGCAGCATGGGAGAAAACTAGGAGGGGGTGGACACCCTCCATCTGGGCCCTCCTGTTTCATGGTGCAGGCACAGGTGTCCCAAGCAGCAGCAAGAGCAGTGACAGTACAAGCAGAGGTACGTCCTGTCTGTGCTCACAGTGAAGAGCACCCTGACCCTTTCTCTCATCCCAGCCCTCGGCTCTGGGGCTTTTCTACACTTCCAGACTTATTTAGGAGTTGGGTGAGGATAAGGAGGCGGAATAGCAATCAGGCCTGCAGTAAATGTGTTGAAGCGGGGCAGAGATGGGCGACCATACCGTTTTTTAAGAGCACCAGAAACTTGTGCCCATTAACTGGCAGCCTGGCTTGTTAGGTCAGTGCCTGGGGACAAACATCTGATGCCCTTCCTTCCTTCCGCCTCAACCTTTGGCAAAACACAGATGGCTCCCCCTTGCCCGGTCTGGCTCCCTATCTCTGCAGCATAAATCCCTTTCCTCTGGACCCCACGGGTGTGGTGGGAAGAGCATAATGAGAGAAGCATCCTGAATTTTCTGAAGTCCTCTGGAACTAGGAACACGAGCAACCAGCAATGCTCTTCACGTGATTCCACATCACCCAGTTCTGAAGGGTGGGAGGAAGTCTTTTTGGTAGGGCATGAGTTCTCTCTGCAGTCCTCTAACTGGGGGAAGTGGGAGGGGACCAGCTTTCTCATATAGACCGCATCAGTCCCTTCGCTGATACCCCCATCCCTACTCCCTTTTAGACACCTCTCACAATGTTACGTCCAAATTACCCACCATGAATTTGAGGACGAGAGAAGACTCGACCGTCCTGCCCAGCCCCACGTCAGAGACAGTGCTCACTGTGGCTGCATTCGGTGAGAGGGAGGAGAAGGTGGGGGGTGGCAGGGGACCTCACGCCTGAGCTGACTTGGACTCTAGCACTCAAGTTCAAATCTTGTCCATTTGGTTTAGGAGGGTTTGGCTGACGAGGAAGATGCTGGTGGGAAGGAGCCTCCGCTGGCCCTCCCCTCCGCTCTTCTGGACCCCAATGGGCTCCATGTTCTTAAGGGAGGATGGGGGTAGGGCTGTGGAGCCAGAAATAGCAGGCTGAGAGCTCATTCATTCAACAGAGAAGGGGAATTAACTTTCCTCCCAGAGCCTGTCTACACAGCACTTAGCTGGGAAGGGAATTTGGACTCCTGTTGCCCTCTTCTGTCCTGTCCTCTGCTTCTCCTTCACCCCATCCTCTTCCCTATTCAGGTGTTATCAGCTTCATTGCCATCCTGGTGGTTGTGGTGATCGTCCTGGTCAGTGTGGTCAGTCTAAGGTTTAAGTGTCGGAAGAACAAGGAGTCTGAAGGTACATGCCCTGACCCTCAGGGCCCCCTTTGCCTCTCTTTGATGAGGGACCCAGAGCTAGATTCTGGAACTGACACCCAACCTGGAGTTGAGGGAAGGAATGGCACCACTAGGGGAAATGGGAGGGTCCACTGGGTGGGCTTTGAGGGGCAGCTTTGGCTTCTGAGTTACAGCCTGTGACCTCCAATCTGTGCCTTTGGATTTTTACAGATCCCCAGAAACCTGGGAGTTCGGGGCTCTCTGAAAGGTAAGACTGTCAGAGGTATAAGGGAAGAATCATCTACTGACCTCTTACTCCCCCATTCCAAGAGGGACCAACACTTCCTGCCTTCACACACACACACACACACACACACACACACACACACACACACACAC